CTCTGGAATTCTCTCTGTGTGCAGCTTTTTCATTTCCATTTCTCTGGTCCACGAGCTCTCTAGCCACCTTGATCTCTCCAGACTCAGCTCTGTCTCCTCAATTCTGGGACTCCACTGGGATCTGCCGAGTTCCCCTCCCTGTACCACAGCCTGGAGACCCTCTCAATGCAGTAGGTGAGGCAATTGCAGGGTTCATCTTTTTTCTTCCCTCTCTCTCAGAGATGACTGTCTTTTGTTGCCTGATGTCCACAGTTTCAAAAAAACATTGTTTCATGTATTTTGTTCTTTTGTTTAGTTTAATTTTGTTTCAGGTGAGAGGATAAATCCAGTCTCTGCTACTCCATGTTGGCTGGAAATCTGGCATGTGATTAATAATATTCTAGTTGTTAATTTGGGTTGTGGGTTTATAAATGTTCACTTTCTTATTTTGCATCATTAACCATATACACATATATATTACACATTTTTTTCATTTGTGTAAAATATTAGTCGACTTTTTCAAGTTCTAAAAGAAAGTGAAGAGCCCTGGGGCAGGACAAGGGCAAAGAAGTAGGAAGAGTCCGTGGCCAACCTCTTACCTCATGTACCTTTCTGACCCTTCTATCTCTTCTACCTAGAGCGCTCCATCTCAGCCAATTTCCCCCGTCCTTGTCACCATGACTCTGAAGGTGCTTTTCGGACACACCAAGATGGTCAAGGAAAAGTGGTGCTGGGTTAGGGGACAGGGAAGATCCTGAGCTTTCATACTTTATGATCTAACAAGCCACTATAGTCTGTGACACTTATGTACTAAATGAGGGTCTTTCAGAATAGTGCTGCAGTGTCTGCACCTGACTCACATTATCAGGCAGTTAAAAGCTGGGGAAGGAGCGCACATGAAGAGTTTTTCCATTTCGGATGATAGCTATTTTTAGGAACACAAGCTACATAAATGTTTTAACCCTTTTCCCATCCTTCTCCGCTTGCTGCTGTGATAAAGGAACAAAATCAAAATGGAGTGCCCTTGCTATCTGGGGAAAGATGAAAACTGCATATGCAAAAGCAAACAGACTGAGATTTATAATGAGTTGATCCCTTAAAAGCTTAGGAAAGAATCTCAAGGGCACATAGGAAAATAGGCAAAGGACTTGTTAGACATATTCATGACAACACAAAAAGGTGAAGTCAGGGGAAGAGGAAATGGACAAGGTCATCCCAAATTGAAACAACTTATAAAAGATAAATTATAATATCTCCAGAAATTAACTGTAAACGTCCCTATAAAATCATAGATGAGAATTTTTGAAAATAAAAGATTGAGTAGTAAGAATAACTAAGAATAAAAAATTAATGAGTTCCTAATGGAAACTTAAAATTGAACCACTGGGGGACTTTTTATAACGAACGGCAATTGAAGAAAAACATCGGGTAAACTTTATGTGAATCTTTGAAAAACACCTCAAGCATTAGCAACTACATAAAAGTTATATATTTCACCTGTCTGAGAGCTGTTACAACAGTATACAAAACATATTAAGCAAAATTGTGCTATAGACAATTACTTATACTCAATTCTTTACTTAAAATTTAGCAGATACACTTGAATAGTTTCTAAAACACATGATCATCAGAGAAGGAATTGAGCAGGAAATAAAGCATTACTGTTTTTTACTCATAAAGAGATGAAAATAAAATAAATTATTGGTCAATTATTTATGAGATTTAAATTATCTTAGCATTTATTTGTTTGCTTTTGAGACGGTCTTGCTCTGTCACTCAGGCTAGAGTGCAGTGACACAATCACAGTGCACTGCAGCCTTAACCTCCCAGACTCAAGCAATCCTCCTGCCTCAGCCTCCCAAGTAGCTGGGACCACAGGCATGAACTACCATGCCCAGCATATGCTTTTTATTTTTAGTAGAGACGGGATCTCACTATATTACCTAGGTCAGTTTCAAATTCCTGGGCTCAAGCAATCCACACACCTTGGCCTCCCAAAATGTTGGGATTACAGGCGTGAGCCACTGCATCCAGTCCGTCCTATCTTTTAAAAAATATATCAAATAATTGTTCATAAATCATTTTCTGTAGTAGAGAAGAGAGCAATTTTTCTTAAAATTGGCAGATAAGATTTTGCATCCACCTTTGAGAAAATCGTATTTGTAAAGTGATTTTAAAAGAATGAAGTCTATGAGTATAATGGCATTATAAAAGTATCAGTGGCCAGGCACAGTGGCTCATGCCTGTAATCCCAGCACTTTGGGAGGCTGAGGCAGGAGGATCCCAAGGTCAAGAGATTGAGACCATCCTGGCCAACATAGTAAAACCCCGTCTCTACTGAAAATATAAAAATTAGCTGGGCGTGGTGGCATGCACCTGTGGTCCCAGCTACTGGGGAGGCTGAGGCAGGAGAATCGCTTGAACCTGAGGGGTGGAGGTTGCAGTGAGCCAAGATCATGCCACTGCACTCCAGCCTGGGCGACAGAGCAAGATTCCACCTCAAAAAAAAAAAAAAGTATTAATATATGGAAATACAAATGTCATATATAGATGTAAATTCTCCTAATGGTTCTCCTGAGCATCACGATTTTTTTCCACAAATTTTTATTTTAAGTTCCGGGGTACATGTGCAGGATGTGCAGGTTTGTTACATAGATAAACGTGTGCCATAGTGATTTGCTGCACAGGTCAACCCGTCACCTAGGTATTAAGCCCAGCATTTATTAGCTGTTCTTCCTGACACTCTCCTTCCCCCAACCCCACCTGACTGGCCGCAGTGTGTGTTTTTCCCCTACCATGTGTCCGTGTCTTCTCATCGTTCAGCTCCCACTTATAAGTGAGAACAGAGCATCATAATTTTCATTGTCTATCAAATGCTAGAAGACTACTCTGTCTGCGTTTGTTACTATGTTTGCCCCATTTTTCTAGCTGTTCTTACATGAATTTAAACCTACATCAATGGCTATTTCCTCAACATTTGGAAACAACAGATACTTATTAGAAAGAAAGTATTTTATCCTTCCTGGCTATAGATCTTACATTCCTCTTATATAACAATCCTAATTCCCTCATGTTATCCTAATCAATGAAATGATTTCACTTATTTTTCAAAGAAGTAGCTATTTTACTACAAAGCAGAAATCGCAAGGCATGGGGTGGGCACTGTTATACTCCGTCAGTCAGTATGTAAGGGAAATCAAACTGTCTGATTTTGAATCCTGCTTCTACTTTTTACAACCTTGGACAAATTACCGATCTCCTCTTTCACTAGATTTATTATTTATAAAATGGAGATACTAACATCTACTCATAGATTACTGTGAGGTTTAAATAAGAAAATATGTATCAAGCATATTTTTCTGGCTTGTAATAAGCACTCTAAAATTTATGCAGTGATGAGGATAATGATCATAGACAATCTGACAGCATCTTATCCGAAGGAAAAAATGCGCATTTCCTTTGAGTAAGTGCTACTGATTCTAGGAATGTGTCCTAAGGAAACAATAAGTCAAATGTTTAAAGGTAGGCACAAGACTACTTATGGTAGTAAGCAATATTTTTTACTAGTCATACAGCAAAAAATTAGAAATAACCTACCTGTTCATGAAGAGAAGTTGGTGAAATAAATTATGGGACACGCATACAGTGGAAAACTTTGGAGACAAAATAGTAAAATAGTTACAAATATAGGCTTTGAATATAAATTTTGACAAACTGAGACTTCTGTCATCTCTTCAGAACACCCTGAGTTCTTCCTGGCCTTTCTTCCTTGCTTTTCATTTGTGTCAGTCAGCTCTTGCTCATATAGCAATCTTAAAATCTCAGTGGCATATAATGGTGAGCGTTTCGTTCTCACTGTTGCAGGGCAGGTGAGGCAGTTCAGCCTCAAACCACAATGTCTAGGACAGCTCTGTTTTGCACTGTGGCCGACTAGCTAAAAAATGTTCTTGTGTCAGCAGTCACAGGAGAACAAGAGGATGAGAGATAATGTGTGAAGCTTCCTAAGTGCTAAGTTTGAAATGAGCACCATGTCGTTTCCATTCACATTTCGCTGGCCAGTGAAAGTTGCATCATGAGCCACAGTCAAGAGTCAGAGAGGTACCCTCATGAGGCTGTGGAGAGAGTGTAGATTCAGGGAGCGGTGAGAAACTGGGGCCAGTACGTCAATCTACAGCATGATTTGTCATTTTTCATTCTCTGCCAGTAAGATTGCCAGTCTCTCTGCACTCATTGAATTCATCCTAGTTTCTGTTTAGCTCTCTTTGTCTCTTACCACAATACCTAAAAATCTTTTTGTAGGGTTACAACTCTGTCTCAGGAGCCACCTCAGTTTGGTGGCACAGAGCTCACCACTGGTACTCTGAAACTCTTTTCTTGAAGACATTCCTATCCATGGGCATGGGTTATTTTTCGTCTCCATGGCATCCACATTAAACATTTAATTACCTTGGATTTAGCCAAAATAAACACTCCAAATTTATGACGTCTTTCAGGAAGAGAGTGTGTTTACTTTTTTAACCACAATGGGAGATTGATCCTGTCTGTGTCCCCAGAGCAGCAGAGGCTGGTTTGCGTGAGGGCAGCTCTTGTAGATGTGTGACTTTTCCCATGGCCTCATAGAGGCTGATATAGAAACTTCTGGATCCAAAGGATCGTTTGGAGGCATTAGCCAGGCATTGAACCAATGATAAGAGTGAGGTTTTGCCATATTCTAACCCTAAGAAACAGAAACGGTAGAGGGAAAAACGAATCAGAATGGAATATCAATACAACTTTAGCCTTTCCCTGGATTCTGAGAGTTCATAACCTAAAAATTAGAACTTCAAAGTGGGAGAGATGGGCTAAGAGGTATGAGCATGGGGAAAGCATGTTTCAGAATTCAAGATGTATTTCCCAGAAAAGGAACAGTCAGAAAAGGCAACTTCCTTCCTCTTTTCTAATTTGGCTCTGGAGCCCCAGCAGAACCTCTTCAATATCTTGCATGTTACAGATTTCGCTGCTCCCACCAGCTTGGAGACAACATGTGGTTCTTGACAGCTCTGCTCCTTTGGGGTAAGTTGGACTCAGAGCGGTAGTTAGAAGGGTACAGGCTGTGGCTGTGGGGAGTCAAGAGTTGTGTCTTCCTGTGGTAACTTTGGGTAGAACTCATGAGTGTGGAGACAACTTGTATCTGTGCTTCCATGGTTTATTAGAGTTTATTTTATCAAAAGGATGGGAAGGGGGACCCTGAGGTAGCATTAAGCCTGGAAACACCACAGTAAAGTTTCACAGATAACCACCTGTAGCTTGTTCAGTTCTGTTAGTACTGGATTTTGAGAGACAGAAATAGAAACTCAAGAGACCTGAGTTGATCTCTCAGAGTCTACATTAATTCTGTGTCCCCAGTTCTCTCTTCCTCATCATTTTCCCTGGACCAACTGATATCTTTATTCTCTGATCTCTTGCAGTTCCAGTTGATGGGCAAGTGGGTGAGTGACCTCTAACTCAGCTTCTTCTCCTATGCCACTTTCCTACTTCCAAAGGTTGGATCCTATTAACCTGAAGAAGAGCATATAGGGAAAGCAGAGAAAGAAGAAAGATTCATAAATTATGTAAAATCTCCCATATTCAGAGCATGATTTTCATAAAAACCATGTTTTGTAAGCTTTCTTTCTAAAGTTCCCTGAATGAGCTCTTCCCTCTGAACGAAATGCCTAAATATATCTGCAATAGCAGGAAAGGGCCAGAATTGCACAAACGCTGAAGAAGTCTGCTGGGTTTCCCAACATCCCCTAAACCAGTCCCTTTGCAAGAAAGCAGAGTGGGTTTTTTCTCCTCAGAAAGATCCAGGCAAATACTGAAAGCTTCAAAGAGAGGAGTTTGAACCTCTGTTTCCAACGCACAAGCTGCGGAAGCCCTGCTCTGTACCTTCAGAGACTGTAGCTCAGAGGACAAGGAACACAGCTCCGCTCGGCTTGCCCAAGTCTAAAACCCTGCTTCATTGCTCCCAACGGGAAAACCTACATCAGTAATTTAATCCTCAGCAGCCCCAAATTCCCAACACCCAGACGAGGATTTCATAACATGAACAGAGGTCTCTGCAGCAGGAATTGGACACTCGTAAAGGCTGGCTTTTGTAGGTGTCCACTTGCTTATTTTTCAAGTAAATCTAAATATGTATTTTTCCCTTGTGCTATCCACAAAAGCCTTACCAGTCACTCAGAGCCCTCCCCTTTACTCCACTTGATCTTTTTCTTTTTCTTCTTGTAACCTCCAAGTAGATACCACAAAGGCAGTGATCACTTTGCAGCCTCCATGGGTCAGCGTGTTCCAAGAGGAAACTGTAACCTTACAGTGTGAGGTGCCCCGTCTGCCTGGGAGCAGCTCCACACAGTGGTTTCTCAATGGCACAGCCACTCAGACCTCGACTCCCAGCTACAGAATCACCTCTGCCAGTGTCAAGGACAGTGGTGAATACAGGTGCCAGAGAGGTCCCTCAGGGCGAAGTGACCCCATACAGCTGGAAATCCACAGAGGTAATTATGACTTGGACCAGGAGGGCCAGAAACCACAAGGTCTTCCTCTGCGTTCTCTCCTTTCTGGACACCAGATGTGTGTGTGTCAATTTATCTGATGCAGGTCTCAGCACTATGTACCTACCAGGTGAAACTAAATCAATATACTCAAAACATCACAGCAGGGTCCTTAAACTATGTACCAACAGAACCTCAGCTGGGCCAGCTGTAAGTAGGATGTCTAGAGTGAGACTTAGGCCCTAAGATTGTATCATTATTCCAAATGTATGCCTGCACATAGTGCATGATAATAATTCAAACAAATGGGCGATAATGAACAATGAAATATCTTCCTCCCACCCAGTACCCTAGGTCTGCAGTCACCTTCCACAGAAACAAAACTGCATATATATATATACACACACACATATTATGTGTATATATACATATTATGCATATATATTAGCATTATGATATATAAACTACATATATATACACACGCATATACATAGTTTTAAAGCTGTGGTTGGTAAGAACACTTTTTAAGTATTGTCCTACATCTTACTTTTATCACTTAATAGAAATCTACTTTAAAATGTCTGCTGCACAGCTGTAGCAGAATTAATTTAACCATTCTGCCTATTAGCAAATTTTTAAGATGTTTCCACTCTTTTGATTTTGTAAGCACTGCTGCAATAATCATCTTTATACATACATTCCTGGGGCACATTTCATAGTATATCTGTAAGATAATCTGGACATGGACTTATTGTCATATTTTAATAAATGGAAGCAGAAAAGCCCACCACCCAAAGAAACCTGTAAGGAGTTTCTATTCATCAAGAGATGGAGACTGCAATCTTCAGGGAAAAATGCTTCATTCAATATGCAAGACAAAATAACCAAATGTATTATTTAGTTATTCAGAAGTACTGAGTTTAAACTTCTTTGAAAGTGATCATGCAAAAGTTAATCCACACTAGAGGCAAAATTACCTTTATGCAGACATGGTTGCTGTTAGAGGAAATGTGTTTTAGCCAAGGAAATGTTGAGAATGTCTGAGGGAAGGCTTGATATTTCTTGTGTGTCCCTTAGGTCTCTGTAAATAAGTTCTTAGGATGGAGAGGGAAGCTGACAGAGCTGTTTCCTTTTTTTTTTTTTTTTTTTTTTTTTTTTGAGACAGAGTCTCACTCTGTCGCCCAGGCTGGAATGCAGTGGTGCGATCTTGGTTCACTGCAACCTCTGACAGAGCTGTTTCAACAAGACACTTTGGACAGTTCAAGCAGAAGTGTCTCATGATTCAAGTGACAACAAAAGGACTAGGGCTGGGAAGAGGCAATTTTCTTCACCTCTAAATAGACTCTAGGACACCGACATCAGTGACTTATTGAAAATCATATCTTTTTTACATCACATTTCCATGTGAATTTTCATTGAAATGTAACTTATGTACAGCAAGCCATAAATGTACACCACAGTAAATTTTTGCAAAGTAAACAACATCCCGATCTATTTTAGACATTTCCAGCACCTCAGAAACTCCTTCTTGCCCATTTCTAGTCCACCCCCTGACACTGACTTCCAGCACCATAGTTTTTTTGCCTCTTTTTGAACTTCATATAAAGGGCTACAGTATGGGACAGGATGTACTCTTTTGTGTCTGGTTTATTTTTCTCAACATTATGATTGTGAACTGTATACGGTATAAATTGAAGTTCATTTGTTCTTATTACTGTATATTTCATATTTTCCCGTTCTGCTGAGGGACTCGGGCTGTTTCTGGTTTTGACCTCTTACAAATAGTAATGCTGTGGACATTTTTTAAACATGATTCAAATATTTTCTACCATTACTAGTGTTTGACAGTTTCTGATGGAGGTATGTTACAATTTCCCACTCTTGGATACACAAATGCAAATTAAGCATTTCCTTAATGACTATGATATTGACCATTTTTCACATGTTTATTACCTATTTGGGTATCCTTTTTTGTAAGGTCTTTTTGACAATTTTTCTATTGTCTGTCTTTTACTGACTTATAGGAGTTATTTATATATTCTGGATATAAGTCCTTTTTCAAGTGTTTTAAATATCTTCTCCCACTCTGTGGCTTTTCTTTTCGCTATCATATTATAGTTTTGTTTGTTTTCAATGAACAAGACTTGTTAATTTTACTACAGTACAATACACCAAAAATTTTGGTTGGTGCTGTCTATGCCCTATTTTAAAATGTTTTGCCACAGTCAGCCACGGGGAATTCAATTGCAGCTCACTGACTCTGAGTCATTTCAATTTAATCAGTATATGCTAAGACCAAGAAAATGAAGCTGGTTGGTGGACCCGGGTCCTAATCATATGGCTGACTCCAAAGTCATGAAGATGGGGGAATGATTGCTGAGTAGGAAATTAGTAATGTCTGCTAAAAGCTGCATCTCGTGAATTTTGCTATATAATACTCCCACTATCATTTAAGGTTAAAAATTTATAAATTTCCATTATACATTATTTTATTCATGAGTTATTTAGATGTTTTTTGGAGGGTGGTTTTTTGTTATTTTTTGTTACTTTTTTTTGTTATTGATTTCTCATGTTATGGCACTTTGGTTAGAATTTGTGTTAAATATGGTATCAGTTCATTAGTATTTGTTGAAAATTGCTTTGTGGCCTAATTCACACTTAATTTTTCTAACATTGCATGTGTGTTTGGAAAGCATATGAATTTTCTTTCTAAAGGAGAGCATCCCACAAGATCAAGCCTATTAATTGTGTCATTCAAATATTTTCTACCATGACTAGTGTTTGACAGTTTCTGATGGAGATGTGATACCATTTCCTACTCTTTTGGACACATGAAGCAAAGATGGCAGTGTTTGGGCAGTGCAGTCTTTCAGCGCCTCCTGGCTGTGGGTGGCAATAAGGGAGGGAAGATAATTAATTATATTCAGAAGCATTATATCCGTATCCATGACTGTAAAATTCATGCTACGTACGGCATAGAAACACTTGCCTTCCAGTCTTAGATAAGTTCTGGAGGGGGGAAAAGCACTATTGTCTCTTCTCCTTCTTGGTCTCCTAAGAGCCCCATTTTTATTTAGCCAAACCAACTGCCTCTGGAGAAAAGAAAAGTAGTTGAAACATTTTTGGTTATGTGTAGAGGTGTACGTCAAAAGGAAGAACTCATTGACTTGGAGCTTGTTTTGCTGGTGGTATCATTGATCTTACATATGTGAGTATTCATATCAATGTAGTGGGATGTTTATATCTGGATGTTTGCCCTTCTGTGTGTTTGTCTTAGGATGTGTGGTCCTGTTAACAAATTTGTCAAGAGTTGGAGTGTATTTGTTTTATATTGCTGTGTAACAAGTTTAGCAGCTTGCAACAACATACATTTATGATCTTCCTGTTTCCATGGGTCAGGACTCCCATCACAGCTTAGCTGAGTGCTCTGCTGAGGGTCTTCCAAGGCTGCAGTCAGGGTGTTGACTTTGCTGTGTTTCTTTTTTCAGCTCTTCTACGCTCACAAGGTCACTGGCAGAATTCAGTTCTTTGTGGTTCTAGGACTGAGGTTCCTACTTTCTTGCTGCACGTCAGTAGGGGGCCACTCTCAGCTCCTAGAGGCCCTTGACTTGTGGTGCTCTCATAGGTCCTCTCCTGGCATGGCAGCTTACTTCTTCAAGTTCAGCAGGAGACCTCCATCCAGACTGCTAAGATAGAGTCTTACATAATGTAGCAATCCCAAGAGTGACATTTCATCACCCTTGTCATATTCTCAAGGGGATTATACAAGGGAGTGGGTCATTGGGATCATTTTAGAATTCTGTCTACCATGCTGTATGAACTGTTTTTGTTTCAATCAACTTCTGAGATCTGGAAAGGGAAGATAAGAAAGGGCCGTGTGCACAGTTGCCAGTAAAGATTGCTTTTCTTTCCACCGAAGCTAAAGATATTTGAGGAACTGGATATAGGCCTGAGATTTAGCAGAGCTCTGAGGCTGGATGTTGCAAGGAGAAGAAACAGAAAGCCCACAGGGCCAAGCTTGGGCCTCCTTGTACCTCCTCCACTGTATACATACATTTTGGGTTCACTTTTTTCAGACTGGCTACTACTGCAGGTATCCAGCAGAGTCTTCACAGAAGGAGAACCTCTGGCCTTGAGGTGTCATGCATGGAAGGATAAGCTGGTGTACAATGTGCTTTACTATCAAAATGGCAAAGCCTTTAAGTTTTTCTACCGGAATTCTCAACTCACCATTCTGAAAACCAACATAAGTCACAACGGCGCCTACCACTGCTCAGGCATGGGAAAGCATCGCTACACATCAGCAGGAGTATCTGTCACTGTGAAAGGTATCGTATAGGAACAGTCATAGAACTGATAGTCCCTCCCCCTGAGGGACCATCATAAATAATCTAAACTCCTCACTTTAATCTACAAGCGAAGAAACGGGGCTCCAGAGAAGTCAACTGCCTTACTAAAGGCCACACCATGACCAGTAGCTGGAACCAGAACTGAGGTCTCTGGGTCCCAGTCCATTACTCTTTCCGGTGTACCGCAGCCCCCATCAATAATCACAGGAGCTAATGTCAGTGTCAGGGCATAATGGTGGTCCATTTCATCCATCTTATTTTAGTTGTAAGGAATAGAGACTCACTCTAGGTAGCTAGGAGAGTTAGAAAATAATGCCATGGAATCTCATGAAAGCTCCATAGAAAGAGAAACCTGGAAAACATGAGGAACAGGTTATACTGTCCATCTACCTCTCAGGGACAAAGCGGCCTCGGTGGCACCACTTCTTCCTGAGCATCTGCAAGCTAAGCAGTTTGCATATGGCCTTGCTCTGACCCTTTCACAGCCTTTCCTCCTAATACAATCACTAGCAATTTTCTCTGTCTGAAAAAAAAGAAGTTCACTCCTGTGGGAAAGAAATTATTGTTCCAGATTATCCTTCTAAGTCAGGAACACAAGTAATGAGTCACTGAAATGGCAAATGTGTGAGTCAGGGTCCACTCCTAGTTGACCACTGCCAGAAGGGCACAGTTATCTACCAGATGACATAGCCATTCAGGGAAGGATGGACCATGTAGAGCAGGGGTTCTCAACCCTTACTGGTCCGTGGCCTATTAGGAACTGGGCTGCCCAGCAGGAGATGAGCTTCCTCATGAGCCAGCAGTACAGCCTGAGCTCCTCCTCCTGTCCAATCAGTGGTGGTATTAGATTCTCATAGAAACATGAACCCTATTGTGAACTGCGCATGCCTGATGATCTGAGGTGGAATAGTTTCCTTCCAAAACCATCCCCACCCCACCCCCCGGCTGTGGAAAAATTGCCTTGCACAAAACCCAGCCCTAGTGCCAAAAAGGTTGGGGACCACTGGTGTAGAGGTATCCTCGGTAGGACTGAGCAAGCTGGCAACCCTAATTATGTCTATTAGGACACCCCAAGAATGGCTTTCTGCTGGAAGTAAGAAGGGTTAATGCCTTATGGATGCATTTTCTAGGGCCAGGTTTCCCAAGGGGGTAAAGCATGTGTCTTTTGTGAAAAGGACCTGGATGCTAAACAGGTAACCCTGTCCCCCATCAACTTTCTCCTTAGAGCTATTTCCAGCTCCAGTGCTGAATGCATCCGTGACATCCCCGCTCCTGGAGGGGAATCTGGTCACCCTGAGCTGTGAAACAAAGTTGCTTCTGCAGAGGCCTGGTTTGCAGCTTTACTTCTCCTTCTACATGGGCAGCAAGACCCTGCGAGGCAGGAACACGTCCTCTGAATACCAAATACTAACTGCTAGAAGAGAAGACTCTGGGTTTTACTGGTGCGAGGCCACCACAGAAGACGGAAATGTCCTTAAGCGCAGCCCTGAGTTGGAGCTTCAAGTGCTTGGTGAGTGAGAATGATGAGAGGCCACTAGCGCAGGAGAAGGGACTCCCTTATCTCCCATGGGACTGAGGTTTGTTCAAGGGTTTCATGGCCCAAAGAGGAGGGGTAAGTCTCTTCAGGAAAAGCCCACAAGCAGACCTTTCCTTCCTTGATTCAGAACATCACTCTTCTCCTCGCAAAGTTTATTAAATTTCCTTTCCTTTCTTTTTCTTTTTCCTTTGCCTTTCCGTCCTCCATTTCTTTCCTTCATTTTCTCCTCTGTCCTTCTTTTCTTCTCCTTCTTTATTTTATTTTCCCCTCCCTCCCACTCTTTCCGCCACCCCATAACCCCCCTTCTCACTCTCTCTTCCTGCTTCCCTGTCTCCCTCTCCCTCACCAACAATCTGACCAACAATTTATCAAGTTCCTCCTATCTATTTTCGTAGGTCTGGAGATATAAAAATGTTTGAGCATAGTTTTTGCTTCAAGGAGCTCACAAGGTGGATTTATCAGACACTGATTTTGTAAACTGCAAATCACCACCTCCCCAAGTGTCTCTATGTAACTGAGGCAGAGGGATTGTGAGCTCCAGAACAAAGGCTTCTTGGGGGTGAAAAAAGTTAATCTTCAACCCAAATTCATTTCAAGTATTAAATGGCATAGAGATACCAGTTGTTTCTGGAACTAGGGAGTAAATCCACTGACAGGGCCCAGCGATTAAGCTCTTCCAAGGAGCCTGTCCCCATCTATACACCATATAGCCAGTTAGAGCTACTGCCAGTTCCTTCCTGCTCCCTAAAATGATCACTGCCTCCTTGAGGACAGGCACATCAGGTCTCAGTCAACCTTCCCCTCCAAACATAATTCAGCCAGACCCCTCTGGTCTCTAAATAGTATCTCTTCTCTTTGTCTTTTTCTGTTTCAGGCCTCCAGTTACCAACTCCTGTCTGGCTTCATGTCCTTTTCTATCTGGTAGTGGGAATAATGTTTTTAGTGAACACTGTTCTCTGGGTGACAATACGTAAAGAACTGAAAAGAAAGAAAAAGTGGAATTTAGAAATCTCTTTGGATTCTGCTCATGAGAAGAAGGTAACTTCCAGCCTTCAAGAAGACAGACATTTAGAAGAAGAGCTGAAGAGTCAGGAACAAGAATAAAGAACAGCTGCAGGAAGGGGTGCACCGGAAGGAGCCTGAGGAGGCCAAGTAGCAGCAGCTCAGTGGGTGGCCATCGATCTGGACCGTCCCCTGCCCACTTCCTCCCTGTGAGCACTGCACACAAACATCCAAAAGTTCAACAACACCAGAACTATGTGTCTCATGGCATATAACTCTTAAATAAAGCAAATAAATGAACTGACTTCAACTGGGATACATTTGGAAATTTGGTCATCAAAGATGACTTTAAATGAGGCCTACTCTAAAGAAATCTTGAAAAACTTACAAATCAAGCCTAGCCTGATAATAATCCTATTACATAGTTTGAAAAATAGTACTTCATTTCTCAGAACAAGGTAACAAGGTGAGTGGGTGCATATGTACAGAAGATTAAGATAGAGAAAGAGACAAAATGAGAGAGAGGGAGACAAAGAGACACACACACAGCCAGGAGTGGGCAGATTTCAGGGAGACAAGAGGGAATAGTATAGACGATAAGGAAGGAGATAGAACTTACAAATGACTCCTAAGGGACTGTGAGACTGAGAGGGCTGACGCCTCTGTGTTCAGGACACTTAGTTCATGGCTTTTCTCTTTGACTTTACTAAAAGAGAATGTCCCCATGTATGTTCTAGGCATACAAGGGGGTAACTCATGATGACAGATGGATATATTATTCTTGCCCTCTCTTTTGAGGCTTTCTCATAACCCCTGTATTTCTAGAGACAACAGAAATGCTGCCAGTCCTAGGCCCTTGTCCTGTAGGAAGGCAGAATGTAACTGTTCTTTTTGTTTAACAATTAAGTCCAAATCTCCAAGTGCGGCACTGCAAGGAGAAACTTCAAGTAGGTAGAAGCGGCGATATCACAGAGTCCAGACCTTGCCTCCAGAGGTTTGCTTTACCTTCCTGATTTTCTGGTTGATTACTAACTAGCTTCAGGATACGCTGCTCACACTTGGGCTGTAATTTGGAGACAAAATATTTTCCTGCCACTCTGTAACATAGCTGAGATAAAAACTGAACTATGTAAATGACTCTACTAAAAGTTTAGGGAAAAAACAGGAGGAGTATGACACACGTAGCAACTTGATTCTAGATTATTTGACCCGTAAATGATGGGTTGGAGCGTCGCGCGCCGAGCGTGTCCCACGGCAGGGCGCTTGCGCCACACTGTGGCCGCCTGTGCATATTGCAGCCTCCGCCCCCATCTGAGGGCCCCAGCCGCCGGCGCCCGGGAACCCAGCTGCGGCGAAAGCTGTTGGGCTCGCGCTTCTCCGCAGCTCCGCCCTCACCAAAACCCAGTGAGAAATTATTTGCATTCCTGGAGGCTGCAGAAGCGACAAATGAGCTCTAGGAGTCGGTGGGTGGGAGCAGCGGCAGGCAGATGGAAGAGAGCAAGGGGTCGGCCGTTCGTGTCTGATTCGCCCGAGTCAAGGGCCAGTCCCCCAAAATCCCAACGTCATTGTTTCTTCTGGGCCGGCAGATGTGAAAATCCGGCGGCAGGATGCAAGTTCCGTAGTCCGCGAGGGCCCGCGGCCTCCCCAGGCGCGTAGCTTTGAGTCGCTCCCACCCCGCCCCGGGCCCTGCCTGCTCTCGGGCCCCGGTACGGCGCCACCTGGCGGCCGTCTATGGAGGTTGCAGCTGCCGTCTGTGGAGGTTGCAGCTGCCGCCAAGCCTTGGTTCTGCTGCGGGCCTGAGGTGCGCCAGGCCGAGCCTCCGCGAAGAGTAGGACTGATAGATCACAGCAAGCGGGAGGACGGCGCTGGGTTCCCAGCAGCCGTCCCAGCTTCTTGGACTGGCGCTAGAGCGGCCAGAGGCGGCGGCGGTAGGGAGAGAGCGGGTGAGGAGTGCGAACGGCCGCCCGCCTCCCCGTCCAGCTCGGAGGACCTCCCAGCTGGTTCCCTCGCCGTCAGAAGCAGGAAGGGAGCTGGCTGGCTCCGCGGGATCAGCAAGCCCGCAGGCAAGAAGGCTCCAGGCTCCGCAGGGGCCAACCCACATGGACTCGGAAACCGCCGAGCTTCACCCACAAGGGTCCACGGCCCATCCTATCACGGATGAAAAGATTACAGGACTGACAATGAGGCCCTGGAGGGATCTGATGCATCTGGTGGGGAGGAGGGTGGGTCGGACTTTTGGGGGATCGCAGGGTGGAAGAATGTCTTTCTTCTCCCTGGGACCTACCGAGGCTTCACCTGTGAGGGTCTTGGGCCCATCCTTCAATCCGAGGGCTTCCAAGTCAAAGCACAACTCCCCAGAGTGGACAGGCGGAGTAGAACCGGCATTAGGTTGGGAGGGTGGGTCGTTGTGGGTCGTTAGCGGTCGTTCCTCACCTTCCAGGCTCGGTATGGAGACCCCTAAATTCATTGTAGGATCACAAGAGCTTCTGTAAGAGTCCGGGCCGTTTCAGAACACTCAGAGGGTCCTAACCTGAGAAGTAATCCCCAAAGCAGACCAACCCGGTTTGGGGTAAAACAGGAATAGCTTGGTCCATTCTGGATCTTTCCTAGCTAAATGCCTTCAGGATTTAGGAATCTTTTCCTAGGAGGGCCAAGGATTAGCTAGACCTGCCCAGCGATTCCAGCCCTGAGAACCAGACAGAATGGAGGCATAGCTGACAGCTGGCTGGGAGGGGGCTGACGGTCCTCACTGCCACCAGGCTTAGTTGAGACAGATCCCCCAAGCTGTAGAGAAGACAACAGAAGCAAGGAGACCAGTTAGGAATCTAGGTGAGAGGCAGTGGCAGCCTGGACTAACATGGTAACAGTGGAGCTATTGAGAGTGGTCACATTTGGAAGATGTTTTGTAGGAAGAGTCAACAAAGTTTCTTATTGATTAGATGTAGGGAATGTGAGAAAGAGAAGAATGGGAGGGAAAACACCTAGATTTGGGGCCAAAGCAATAAATAGTCCATTGACAGAATTGAGAAAGCAAGTTGGAGGAGGGGAACAGGGTAGCAAGAAGCAAAAGTTTCATATTGGACATGTTAAGATTCCTATTTGACATTTAAGTGTAACTATTGAAAAAGCAAGGGATATATGAAGAATCCTGGACTAGAGATACAAATTTGCCAATCATCATATAGATGTGGTATTTAGAGTCAGAGGACTAGAAAGGACAATGTGAGGGGGAAGTACAGATAGAAAAAGGTCTAAGCCTGAACCGTGAAACATGCCACATTTTAGAGGTTGCGTAGAAGAGGTGACAGCAGAGGATACTGATAAGGAGTAGCCAGTGAGGTAGGAGGAAAAACAGAGAAGAAAATGCCTCAAGAAAGAGAGATCAACTATGTCAAATTCTCCTGAGAAAACGATTGGATTTGGAGTGGGACTGCACTAAATCTGTAGATCTTTTGGGGGCGGGAGGGAGAGGGTTAGGGAGGATTGATATCATTCCAACATTGACTTTCCAATCCATGAACTCTCCATTTATTTATTTATGTCACTGTTACTGTCTCACAACAATATTATAATATTCTCTCTAGATGTGTTAGATGTATTCTTAGGTCCTTCATTTTTGTGTCATTGTAAATGGTATTGTTAGAATCTTCAGAAGTAATTATTGGCCACATGCGTGTAATCCTAGCACTTTGGGAGGCGGAGGCAGGCAGACGCTTGAGTCAGGTGTTGGAGACCAGCCTGGGCAACATGGCAAACCCCATCTCTACAAAAAATGCAAAAATTAGCCAGTGGCACACGCCTGTAGTCCCAGCGACTCGGGAGACTGAGGTAGGAGGATCAATTGAGCCCAGGAGGTGGAGGCTGCAGTAAGCCAAGATCGCACCACTGCACTTCAGCCTGGGTGGCAGAGGGAAATCCTGTCTCAAATAATAATAATAATAATAAAAATTGATTATTACCAGTCTCATAGCTGAGGTAGAAATTTTTTTAAAAAAATAAGTAAGTACTGCATTTATTCACTCCAAGAAAAGTAAAAGCTAAGGCCCAGAATGTGGCAAGTCAAGGGTTAAAAGAAGAGAACAAGTTTTCCTCTGCCTAGCAAGCTCACTTCAAGGACAATTATAAGATAACGCTGTCCGAATAGCCAAGGCCAAAGGAATAGGCTCCAGACACCTCTCCCTTCCAGAGCAAGGTTGAAGGAAAAAAAAGAGAAAGACAGATTCTTTTACTGTTACTCTTTCCCCAGGCTTCTTAAACATTATTATTTACAAATGTCTGTATTTAGCCAGTTTTTGTTTTTCTTTCAATGCAACTACAGGGTCACCAGCTATGCAAGGTCCCAAGTTATGTTATGCTATAGATTACATAACCTGTCACTGTATGATTAACTGCTTTTGTTTTGCTTCTGTAAGGCCGCTTCTAAAAACCCCACTCTGTCTTTGTCCAATGCTCAGCTTTTTAGATGCAAATCTAAAAACTGAAAGACCAAATATAAAAACTGAAAGACCTTAAGACACATATATCTTAAGCTTGGCAATGGAAAGCAGGATGTCACACACACACAAAGCTAGTAATGTGAAAATCTGGTCTTGCATAAGGTCTTTTAGGTTTAGACTTCTTTGTTAATGCACATTGGCAGGAAAATGGGAACCAATAAAATTGTTTGCTGTCCTTCTCCCTCTATTCTCCACTTCTGGTTTTGTTTCTCAGTGTGGGGTCAAAACTTCCAAAGGGTAAGAAGCTCATTTTTCTGCCTTTCCCCTTCATCTCCCTATCGCACTAGGTACATACTACTCCTTAAACACTTAGAGAAGATAAAAAAAGAATAAATTGCGGAGAGGGAGCATATGTGAAAGTAAAAGATTCCCAGACATAAAATGGGAGTTAATGGAGAAAGAAAATCTCTAAGGAAGACTGGAAATAATTGGGTTAGGGATTCTCGAGAAGTAAACTAAATTCCCCAAATGTGGTATTCTCTGAGAAGATAATTTAATTTTGAAGAAGAAATGGCATGCTATCCAGTGAAACAGCGGTCCTCTGGAGCCTGGCTGTGACTTCAAGGCCCACTTCTGGAAGGTCAGAAAAAGACCTCAAAGAGGAGAAATGGGCATTTACGTAGGTTTATAAGTACCATCTTTATTTTAGAAAATAATCATTTTCTACCTTGAATTCTAGTTTATTGTGACGAAAGATTGTAAAATTTCGGGACATGACTGAATTGAAATCTTGGTCCTGCACTTCTATAGCTCCTTGAATTGCAATTTCTTATCCCAATTATTTTATCCTTTCATTCTACTATGAAATCTATATCATGGCACATAATAGTCAACTTTATTATTTTAATTTACCGAACGCTTATTTACCTTTCATGGGTTATTTCATTTAGCCTTCATAATATCTGTTGTCATTGTCTCACACTCAGTAGGTGGCTTTTAATACTATTCTATTATTTTGATCAATTTGTATGATATGAATGTTCTCTCCTCAGTGTTTGGTAATGCTGCCTGGGCTTGCTTTTGTTTGTTTTTTGAGACAGAGTCTTGTTGTGTCACCCAGGCTGGAGTACAGTGGCGCAATCTCAGCTCACTGCAATCTCTGCCTCCTGGGTTCAAGTGATTCTCCTGCCTCAGACTGCCAAGTAGCCAGGATTATAGGCACACGCCACCACACCTGACTAATTTTTGTATTTTTAGTAGAGACGAGGTTTCACCATGTTGGCTAGGCTGGTCTCAAACTCCTGTCCTCAAGTGATCCACCCACCTCGCTCTCCCAAAGTGCTGGGATTACAGGTGTTGAGGTGCCACACCCAGCCTTGGTACTATTTTTAAGGATATGTATATCTGATTTTTTTTCTGTTTATCTTATAGTTATTCTTTATTCAGGTATTTTACTTTTCTTAGCTCAACTTTGGTAATGTGTATGGAAGAGTCACCATTTTGTCTACAATTGCAAATATATTTATATCAAAAATACACATCACTTTAGTATCTTCTATATCTAATATTACTTATGTGCTTTTTCAATAGTAAGCTTATGGAAGGATTAACTCTAATTTTCTTTTCAGAGAACAGCCTTTGGTTTTATAAATTCCATTTTGGTGGAATAGGAAGGTATGATCTGTTTCATTGACTATGCTTTCATCTTAGTTTGTTCCTTCTACTTTACACAGGTTTTTGTTGTGTTCCTTTATTAGTGTTTGAGTTAAAAACTTAATGCTCTCTCTGTTGCTCAGGCTGGAGTGCAGTGGCATGATCTCAACTCACTGTAACCTCCGCCTCCCAGGCTCAACGATCCTCCTGTCTCAGCCTCCCTAGTAGCTGGGACTATAGCCATGCACCAGCACATCCAGCTAATTTTTGTATCTATTGGAGACACAGGGTCCTGCCATGTTGTCCAGGCTGGTCTCCAACTCCTGAGGCAATAATTGGGAGTCCAAGGCGATCTGCCCACCAATTATTTTCTCTTAAATGCATTTTAAAGCCACGAATTTTCTCCTGACTGCTTCACATAGGTTTTAATATTATTTGCCATGAAATATATTCCACAGTGGAATGACAGATAATTGGGATAAGAAATAGCAATTCAATGAGTTATTTAAATATAGGGCTAAGATTTGAATTCTAGCTTACTGGGACCAAAGCTTGTGAAGTCTCAGGGTATGGTTGAATTATAGTGCTCTTGTTATTTCTAAAGAGTGTGTAATTTTTATTCTGATATCCCTTTTAACCCATGTGCTTTTTCCTAAGAGTACATCTTAAGGAGGGCATGTTTATTTTATTGTTTTATAATCAGTTAACTATGCCCTGGTCCTATATGGTTTCAGCTTTTCAACACTTGAGACTTAATTTGCCATCTCACTTATGGTCAATTTTTGTCAATAGTCCATGTGAATCTGAAAATAAGGTAACTTTCCTATTTTGAATATAAGATGGCATAGGCATAATTATAGTTATGATTAATCTTATTAACCATGTTCTTCAAATTCTCCATATCCTCAATAAGTTTCAATCAACTGGATCTGTCAATTCCTAAGAAAGGTGTATTAAATTTATCACTGTGATTGTTGACTTACATGCACATATGTGTGTGTATCCTTGTTAAATGCAAATAATTCATGGTCATTCCTTAATGGAGCACTACCTTTATGAATATGAGATACCCTTCTAGTACCATATATAAATGTATTTTTAAACCTTTTTTTTTTTTTTTTTTTTGAGACAGGAACTTGCTCTGTCACCCAGGCCAGAGTGCAAAGGTGCAATCATAGCTAACTGCAGCCTCGACCACCTAGGCTCAAGCAATCCTCCTCCTTCAGCCTCCTAAGTAGCTGGGACTACAGGTGCATGTAACCATGCCTGGCTAATATTTTTACTTTTTATAGAGTCAGGGGTCTTGTTTTGTTGCCCAGGCTGATCTCGAACTCTTGGCTTCAAATGATCCTCCTGCCTCAGCCTCCCAAAGTGCCAGGATTACGTGTGACCCACCATGTAAGCCCATATTTTTCTAACTTCTACAGTAATAGTATCTGTATCCTATTTATTTATAACATAAATCTTACTTAGCCTGTTTTACTTCTCTTCACTCTTGCTCTCCCTACCTCCCTCCTATATCACCTGGAATTGGAATTCCAGGTTTTCTTTTTAACTTTCTAGAACCTAAATTCACTTTGTTTAGCAGTATCTTTTACCAAATACATTACCACCGTTGCTTCTGTTATCTCACATCTTCCCTTATGATTTTTTAAATTATTGCTGGAATAGAATTCTGAAAAGTCACCCACACTTAAGTGATAGTTTAATTGAATTCAAAATTGTTTTCCCTCGATTTTAAAAAATAATGCTTCGTGTCTTCTTATATCCAGTGGAGCCCAAATGAGAAGGTGGATGTAAATTTAACTTCCATTTCTTCATAAGCATTTTCCCTGAATATGTTTAGAAATTTCTCTTTGTTCTCAAATTTTGTCACTGTGAATCTAGGTGAGAGTCCTTCTCATCCTGTATGCTCAGAATTTAATAGGACCTTGCAGTCGAAGGATGTATGTATGCATTTAGATCCTGTGAAATATCCTCCTTTTCTCATGACTGTGGTTGCATACTACACAATAGTAGGTTGTACACTACACATTGGCAAATCTTATTATTCAAATGGCATCCCCTGAAATTGTGCAGTGCACAATCAGCAAATCTTATTTGGTAGATCTGTATTTTATTTCTTACATGTTCTCAATTCTCCCCTCCTCTCTAACTCCTCATCCTACTAGATGAGTTTAGAACATCTGGATCTATTTTTCATATCATTTAACTTTTCTTTCATTTCTGCATGCATCTTTTTATATGGCTTTGTGGAGGAATTTCTGGCTTATCTTGATCATTGTGAGTGGGGAGAAACTCAAACTATGTGTTTCCTGTGCTTTCACACCACAACACTCAACACAGAAGACTGACCAAATGTGACGGGGGGGGGGGGCGGGGGGGGGGGGTGGGGAAAGGGTCTCCACACAGCAAGCAAGCAGTCAGTTCTGCAGTGGACAGCAGCTGAGTATAACTCCAATTCAATTTTTACACTATTTGTCAGGAGATCCCACAGGTTGAGGGCTGAGTCTACCAGACTGCCCCCACTTTAAATGCCAGTTGCAAGTCTGGGCCTCCAGAACTTCTGACCAACTATTTCCAGGTTGGGATTCCCATGGCTTCCTCGTTTGCATTGGATTAATTTGCTAGAGCAGCTCCTGAAATTCAGAGAAACACTTGTGTTTACTGATTTATAACAAAAAATACAGATGAAAAGATGCATAAGGGCTCAGCCTCCCAAAGTGCCAGGATTACATGTGTGACCCACATGGGGGAAGGAGCATGGAGCTTCCGTGCACCCCCACTGGGTGCGCCGCCCTTCAGGAACCTCTACATGTTCAGCTATCCAGAAGCTCTCCAAGCCCTGTCCCTTTGGGTCTTTACAGAGGCTCCGTTACATAGGCATCACTGATTAAACCATTGGCCATTGGTGATCAGCTTAACCTTCAGCCCCTCTCCCGTCCCAGGAAGTTGGAGGTGGGCTGAAAGTCCAAACTCTCTAATCCTCCCTTGTTCTTTCTGGTCACCAACCCCCATCCTGAAGCTACCCAGGGGCTGCCAGACATCAGTCAACTCATTAATAAACAAAAAGACATCACTTTAGTGTTTCTAAGGATTTTAGGAGTTGTATGTCAGGAAATGGGGTTGAAGACCAAATATATATTTCATAATAGCACAATCTTTCAGCTTATTTATGTTCTCTTGGCTATATCTATCCTGTTCTGGATTTATCCCTTGTTGAATTTTTACATAAATAACAAAATTTTAAATTTCCAAGGCGTGGGAGCGCCCAGTTACTTGGTACATTTTCCTGCCTCCTTGAATCAAATGACCGCACTCATTGCTGGTGTCAAAGATGTCAGTCACCAGCCAGGCATGGTGATTCACACCTGTAATCCCAGCACTTTGGGAGGCCAAGGTGGGTGGATCCCTTGAGCCCAGGAGTTTGAGACCAGCCTGGGCAAAATGGTGAAACCCTGTCTCTACAAAAAATACAAAAATTAGCTGGTTGTGGTGGTGCATGCCTGTGGTCCCAACTACTCAGGAGGCTGAGGTGGGAGGAGAGCTTGAGCCCAGGAGGTTGGGGCTGCAGTAAGCTGAGATCGTGCCACTGCACTCCAGCGTGGGCAATAGAACAAAACCCGGTCTCTATAAAACAAATAAAAAGACTTCAGTCACCAAGGTAGGAGACGGGCAGATACTCCTACTGAAGTACCTGAACTGTCATCCTGTCAGCTGCCCCAAGACCAACTTTTGTCTCCTGGTTCCAAAACATGTGGATCATTTTTTGGTCCACTCCTGTCTTCTGCAGAAGTCCTCCTTGGCACTCTTCACTGTTACCCCATCTGCCATCTTTGTCCATTTTTTATCATTTCTAGGAATTTGGAGTAGAATATGAGAAGAAAGCAACATATCTTCAGTACACAATCTTGAATCCGTAGCTATTTTTCACCTGTGCATTAGAGACGGGAAACTTGCAGAGCCCTCGACAGGACTTCCCTACGACCATCAACTAATATTTATTGAATTGGTTATTAGTAGGAAACATTAAGCAATTATCCTTCATAAAAACATTATGAAGTAAGCATTACCATATTCCCAGTTTTAAGATGAGAAAACACAGATTAAAAACACCCTAAAGAGCAGAGCCAGGTTACACACCACGTGGTCCGTCTCAGGAGCCTGCACTCTTTACTAATACACTATACGATGGCATATCCGGATGATTTTGGGAACACATTATACTTCTAACCTGCCAGGAGGGCCAAATATATTTACTTTGTCATCTCTGTGCTGTAAGGGGCCACATTTCTACCCATCAACTCAATCTACATTACTCAAGCCTGCTTGTAATTCATATGATATTTCCTTATGCCAGGAACAATAGTCACAGTTCTGTTTTGCTACTCTTTTATCTTTGTGACTCAAATTCCCCCCTCCCCACTATAAATGATTTGCACATACTAGTCTAGAAAGATTTATCTAATATGCCACTTTCCCCCACAATCTCCACAATCATAAACACCATGAAATAAACTTCTCTTAGACAAATGAAAAATTTTCTTACTTTTTTTCTCCAGGCTAAGGATGAGAATTCAAGTTTTACTTGGTTAACTCTCCAGCTAATCCGAAAGCTGTCTTCTTCTCTATAGATGCTTGCTCTTTCAGGGGGGCAGGTGGGAGTTAAGAATAATTTCCATTACCTAATTCCTTGATACTAATGTGAAAAAATTATGAAAATCAGAGGTCAAACACTTAAAAAGATCCAGGAAAAATCTCCTACAAAGACACTTAAATAAGCAAAATCATCAAATTTTCATAATGCGACAGGGAGAAGATTGAAGAAACCAAAAAAAGCAAGTATGTTCCTTTGCTGGAACTAATCCTATGGCTGATATATACATGTAAGTTAATCAGCATACCTTTCTCCTGCTCATTATTCTACATATATAATATGGGTCTTAAGTAACTAAACATTCCAAACTAGATGAAATATAGTTCCAGAGAGAAATTATAAGTAGTTTAAGACTTAACCCTTTGTATTAATCAGAGTTCTCCAGAGGGATAAAACTAATAGGGGAGACATACACCTATATCTATAGATGATAATAGATTAGATATAGATACATTAAAGGGAGTTTATTAAGGAGAATTGGCTCACATGATTACAAGGCAAAGTCCCACAGTGGGCCGTCTGCAAGCTGAGGAAGAAGCCAGTAGTGGCTCAGTCTGAGTCCAAAAGCCTCAAGAGTGGGGAAGCCCACAGTGCAGACTTCAGTCTGTGGCTGAAAGCCCAAAAGCCTCAGGCCAGCCACTGGTGTTAAGTCCAAGAGTCCAAAGAACCTGGAGTCTCATGTCCAAAGGCAGGAGGAATGGATGGAGGCATCCAGCACAGGAGAGAAATGAAAGCCAGAAGACTCTGCAAGCCAGCTTAGCCCACTTCTTTCTCCTGCTTTGTTCTAGCCACCCTGGCAGCCAACTGGATGGTCCCAACCCACATTGAGGGTGAGTCTTCTTCTCCCAGTCCACTGACTCGAATGTTAATCTCCTCTGGCAACACCCTCTCAGACACACCCAGAAACAATACTTAGCTATCTAGGCATCCTTTAATCCTATCAAATTTATACCTAATATTAACCATCACATCCTAGAATTTAGAATTTTCTTAAGAACACTGAATGACCCTTGCCTAGGGTTGTATCTGTGCTGTGGCTGAAGTCTGTTTTAGACTCCCTCCTGGCCTAAAGAATTTTCCTTCAATGCATTGAAAAATGTTAATCCCACAAACTAGAAACCAAGACTTTTGCAAAATCAAAACATCATTGAGAAGGCAGGTGTGAGGAAATCAAGCCTTTATCTTTAGATATATTCTATTCCTAGGTGTTAAAAACACTAATATTAAAAAGTGGTATGGATCTCCACCTACCCTCTGGTAATTTGCAGTTATTGCCCTTTGATCATGTAAAGCAACTGAGATCATTTGCTCCTGACTTCACGTCACTAATCTGTATCCTTCATTTTTTGCTCCAAGTGTTGCTTCTTCTGAGTGCCGAGTGCTGCCCAGTACCTAGATTGATCTCTCTCTCTCTCTCTCTCTCTCTCTCTCTCTGTCTCTCAGTATCCAACCAATCCCAAGCTGTATTACCTCTTTACCATCTTTGGGAAAGTGGACCAGTATCCAGGCTTGGATAAGCCAAGGAAAAATACTAAGGAACTGCTTAAAGCTCTAGTAGTTCTTCTACTTTGCTGTTTTTGGCTTTGGCCATCTAAAGCAAAGTTCCTTGGACTGGTTGACAGTGAGATACTCTCTAGATTCTTGTGTCTTTTTTTAGTAGGACCACCTAAAATGTGTCATCCATTGTGTAACGAGTTCTTGACCAAAGAAATCTGAAGGTCTTCAGACTCTGTCATCTTCCTTGTTTGCCACTCTTTGGATTGTAATTTGAAGAGAAAAAATCTTGTTTTCTTGCAAAAATGTTGGATGCTGAGTAGTTGGCAAGAACAGTAACTTCAGCTAGAAAATGCTGGAAACAATTTAACAAGCAGAAATGATTAACTCAGAAATCATCGACAGAACTCCACCAACCCCATTTTTAAATTTCTGTTTAAACATTTCCCAAATTATTTGCACATTCTTCTTTTGGCTGTAAGACATTATTTTCTCTATGCTAGCTAATAGTTTTCCAGATAATTTCTATTCCCTTGACTTGTTCTTATGTTAAATCCTCAAAATTAAGGGCTTTCCGCTCAAAAATCAGAAATAGGAAAGAAGTGTTTAATGAAATGATTTCACTTTTTTCTGAAAGTATTGACGTGAAGTATTAAAAGCATCATCTGATAGAAAAAGAAGGTACTTGCCAAATATTATATCGGCCTTTATAGAGCACTAGTAACAGACACTAGTAACTCAAAGTCTTTTGTTTCCTAATTTATTCTTTTCCTAATAGGCCACGTAGCAGACACTGAAGGTTCTATGTAACAAAGGTCCTACAAGTAAATTGTGAAAATGCCTTACTGGATGGTGTTTCTAGAATACAGAAGGTCTTATTTCCTTAATGCAAGATGCTTAGGGAAGTCTCTCTCAAGTCACCAGAAATCTACTAAAGCACCACTTGCTGGAAAATGGAATGTGCTTTGGAAGTACAACAGTGCTCTTGCAAGCGCCTTCCTAACCATAACAATAATAAGAGCAACACTGATCAAATATGTACCATGTTTCAGCCACTGTACTAAGTGCTTTGGGTACATTACCTCATTTAATCTTCATATCAAGCCTAGAAGATAGTTTCCACTATTTTTCCCATTTTACAGGGGAATAACTTGAGGATCAATTTGCTGTAAGGAAGTTTATTTATCACAAGTAGTAAAGAAACTTTTCCAAGGTCATACAGTCCTTACGTGGGGAAGCTATACTCAAAGCTGATGTTCATCACCACTACAGGATAGTGCCTTCTCAGCAAGAACTACTCTAACAGTGCTAAGAGGAGAAATGGGCAAGGTGGTAAGAGCCAGAATATCTGTTGTTGATGTGGCAGATTCAGCTCTGAACTTATGACCCTAAAATGATCTCCAACCTCAGCTGCCTGAGATGCCTTCAGCATGATATGTGATCATGTGAAAGCTATGTTATATGTATTATTTTTACTACCTCTTCTGCATCCAGATAGGTAGATTGTTTTTTTCCTCTAGAAAAAAAAAAAAAAAAAACCCAGAAAAGAACTAAGACAAAAAAACAGGGAGATCTTAACAGAACCAAGGCAGATTAGATTATATTAGCCTTGAAAACGGTGATAGCAATCAGTGATGTTGAACCTGAAATAATTTAAATAATTATCAGCAACTTACCAGAGCTACGTTAGTGGACCACTGGGATCTCTCTTATTTGGGTCTCAGTCTTCCATAAAGTGAAGGGACTATAATTGTCCATCTTCAAGGTTCCTTCTAATTGTGACTCAGGTATAACCCCTTGACTCTTTTAGGAGATTTCTGGCAGTTAATGTCAATACTACCCTTCATATTGCCTCTGAGTTAGCTTAGGTAAGGTCCTTAAATACCCAATGACTTATACTCTGAGGCTTCTAACCTGGTATGTGGACCTTGGTGGTTGCAACTTCACCCAAATCCTCATTCTGTGTTGTGCTGTCCCTAATTTAGAGGGCAAAAGATTTCAAACTCAATTGTTTCTTGTTAAATTCAACTCTTGGAGCTCCACCTGTCATAAATACAACCCCATTTCCCACGTACTCAATTACTTCTGTTTCTCGAATCCATCATTCATCCCAGATATTTAGTGCCTAATGTATTTCAGATATAGTTCTACATAATAGGGATAGAGCAGTGTATGAAACAAAGTACCTACCTTCGTAGGACTTATTCTGAGGAGGTAGGAGGGGAGACAAATGATGTATTACTCAGATATAGTCTAAGTTATTATAACAAATAAGTCTTTTAAAACAGTGGCTTGAATAAGATACAAGTTTATTTATCTCTAATATAACAGTCCAGGGCTAACAAAGCAGTTCTGCCATCCTCATCGCAGGGCTTCTGCCTCTGGGTCCAAAGTAGTTGCCCCAATTCCTGCCATCACATCTGCACCCCAGCCAGTGCAGAGGGTAAGAGGGCAAGGGCAACATATACATATTCTTTTTTACGGCACAAACTAGAAGTAATATATACAACTTCCATTCACATCTCATTGGCCCCAAACTTTGAACAAACCCAGATGCAAGAGAAGCTGGTAAATTAGCCTTTAATTGAGAAGCCATGCGCCCAGAAAGCAGGGAGTTAAAGTATACAAGGAAAGATCATTTTTATGGATATCAGTCTCATTCAGAAATAAACAAGTAAATAAATACATTAGTATTCAGATGGCATATGGAGAAAAATTAAGAAAGTTATGAGAGGCCGGGCACAGTGGCTAACACCTATAATCCCAGCAAGTTGGGAGGTCAAGGGGGGTGGATCACAAGGTCAGGAGATCGAGACCATCCTGACTAACACAGTGAAACCCCATCTCTACTAAAAATACAAAAAATTATCCGGGTCTGGTGGCAAACACCTGTAGTCCCAGCTACTCGGGAGCGGAGGTTGCAGTGAGCTGAGATTGCACCACTGCACTCCAGCCTGGGCAAGAGTGAGACTCCATCTCAGAAAAAAAAAAAAAAAAAAAAGTTATGAGATAAGGAATACCAACAACTGAGGAAAGAAGAGGAGGGGGCTTGTTATCTTACCTAAGATGTTCAGGGAAGACCTCAATGATAGTTGGTAAGGTAACTTCTGGGAAGAGCCTTTTGAGAAAAGGAAATAGCAAGTGCAAACATCCTGAGATAGAAGGGCCTTGATGTATTCAAGGAAGTACAAGGAGAAAATTATGATGAAATGGAGCAAACTAGGGAGTAGTAAGAGAGAAGGTCAGAGAAGTGAATGTGGGCCTTGATGCTGAAGCCATCGGAGGGTTTTCTGTTGGGGAGGAGTAAGGGAATGATATGATCTGACTTATGTTTCAAAAAGTGTACTCTAGCTGCTTTGTGGGAAATACAGGAGGGAGAGAGCAGAATCAAGGAGGCCATTTAAAAAGCCACTGCAAATATTCGACATGTGGAAGCTTGGAGCAGGGAAACAGTGGTGAAGGTGGTGAGATGTGGTTAGATGCTGGACATATTTTGAGTCAAGAGGATTTTCTGATAAATTGCATATGGAAAATAAGAAAAAGCTTATTCACTCACCACTCTAATAGTCACACCAGTCTATAATCCCAGCACTTCGGGAAGCCAAGGCAGGTGGATCACTTGAGCCCATGAGTTCAAGACCAACCTGGGCAACATAATGAGACCCCATCTCTACCAAAAAACTCTAAAAATTAGCCAGGCATGGTGGCATGCACCTGTAGTCCCAGCTACTCTGGAAGCTGAGGTGGAATGATCACCTGAGCCTGGGAGGTCAAGGCTGCAATGAACTGTAATCATGCCATTGCACTCCAGACTGGGTGACAGAGCAAGACCCTGTCTGGAAGAAAAAAAAAGGGGCGGGCATGGTGGTTCACACCTATAATCCCAGCACTTTGGGAGGCAGAGGCAGGCAGGTCACCTGAGATTGGGAGTTCGAGACCAGCCTGGCCAAAATGTGAAACCCCACTTCTACAAAAATATAAAAATTAGCTGGGCATGATGGCTGCCATGTGTAATCCCAGCTACTCGGGGGGTTGAGGCAGGAGAATCACTTGAACCCGAGAGACAAAGGATGCAGTGAGCCAAGATTATGCCACTGTACTCCAGCCTGGGTGACAGAGTGAGACTCCATCTCAAAAAAAAGAAGGAAGAGGGAGAGAGAGAGAAAAGAAATAATAATCACACCCCAAGAAAAGACAGCCTCAAGAAAATCAAGCTACGACCATGGTGAACAATGCTCCAAGGGTTTTGTGATGCTGTAAGCTGAGTATGATGGGCATAAATTGTTTTGCACTCTGCAGGTAGGAAGGTGGGATAGCCAAAGCTGTTCAATATAATATTAAAAAATAAAATCTCGATTGAAGTAAAATAAAAGTTTTCTTAAGAGATATATTAAAGTAAATGGAAATGTTACAACCTGGATGAGGGGTAAGGAATTAATAACCTCTAATCACAGAATAAAAATGGAATGATTGAGAATTCCATCTACCCAAATCAGACAACTAAAAAGTTGAAAGAGGTTACAGTAAAAATTGGGTAAAACTAAATCTTAAAAAAATAAAATAAAAAAAATAAAAAATTCCAGAGGATACGTGATATACTTGTCACAAAGAAAATTCCAGTTGAATCTTATGGACTTGAGGAATGGATACCTTTGTGTCTCCATCACTTAGCACAATAACTGGTACCATGTAAGTTCTCACAGAATTTTCCTGAACTCTCCAACCAGAGGCAACCTTTCACTCTCAATTCACATAACATTTCCCTCTTACTCCTCTTTTGGGAATAACACATCTTGCTTTAATTGTATTTATCTTTATGCCAGTTTAATTCTCTCTTTTAAATTCATTTACATCTTTGTATCCTCTAGCTCATTATTTTTTCAAAATAAAATGGATTCAAATAAAAAATTATTAAAGAGGTAAAGTAAAAGAAGATATTACAACCTGGCTGAGGGGCAAAAATTATATGTTCAACGTATATTTGATAATACATACTGAGAAAACACAGCCTACTTTTACTTTTCAAAAGTTTGTTCATGTTGACATTGTGGGACCTAGAAGATTTTTATCAAGTTTTCTATTTTTGCCAAGTCATATGATCTGTTACAGTTCAGCTGGAGTTAACCAAATGTAGAAAAAAAAAAAAACAAAAAACTTCCATAATATCTAGTAATTCTCCAAAACAAGCTTGTTCCTTCCTTGTTGAACACTGACATTCTTTGATAACTCTAACTTTATCCCACAGAGGTCATGTACTTATTTCCCATATGTTGTCCTATGCTTAAATTCCAAATTCAGTTGCATTGACTTTTAGAACAGCTTTAGGAACTGCACCTAGTTTTAAAATACGTTATTTGTCTACAAATTATGACAAAAGATTAAACTGTCATCTTTGTAGGTTTCTACACATACTCCAACTCATTCACTAATCCTTGAAAAGATTATGTAACCAATCTCAATGCCCTGACCCAGGTCAAGCCCATTTCTACATGTGCAGTGTTCTCTGGATCTGATATTTAAAGCCCCTTATCCTGATACTACATACCTTTTTCGTCTTCTGGAATGTGCCTCTCTTCTCATCCTTTTTCAAGGCACTAGAAAAGCAGACCATTTCTCCAGCACCTCAAACCACGGTGAGAAAGCTCAACTCGAATCTCATCATTTTGGCTACGTAGATACATTGGCTCAAGGGAAGATGCCAAGTGTAGTACTCTACCATTCTGAGGATTTTTGAATCTGTAACAGTTGTGTCAACTGGGCAAATAATTATGAAGGGCAATAATCAAGAGTATCCATGCTGGCCGGGCACAGTGGCTCATGCCTGTAATCCCAGCACTTTGGGAGGATGAGGTGGGCAGATCACGACCGTGGTCAGGAGATCAAGACCATCCTGGCTAACATAGTGAAACCCCGTCTCTACTAAAAATACAAAAACAAAATTAGCCGGGCATGGTGGTGGGCACCTGTAGTCCCAGATACTCGGGAGGCTGAGGCGGGAGAATGGCGGGAACCCAGGAGGCAGAGCTTGCAGTGAGCTGAGATCATCCACTGCGCTGCACTCCAGCTGGGGCGACAGAGTAAGACTCCATCTCAAAAAAAAAAAAAAAAGTATCCATGCTAAAGAAGAAAAAAGTTAGAAAAAAGGTAGAGAAAAATATTTACTGGAGTATTTGAACCCACCACTCTCAGATCAATTTTCTAGTGTTCTGTTGACTGAGCAACCAGTCAACAAACTTTCACTGAGAAGCTATTTTATAGTAGGCATTGGGATAGCCTTTGTGGACTACCAAGCAGCATATGTCTCTAACAGAAGACAAACAAGAAAATGTAAAAACAAGAAAAAGAAATTGGCCGGGCGCGGTGGCTCAAGCCTGTAATCCCAGCACTTTGGGAGGCCGAGACGGGCGGATCACAAGGTCAGGAGATCGAGACCATCCTGGCTAACATGGTGAAACCCCGTCTCTACTAAAAATACAAAAAAACTAGCCGGGCGAGGTGGCGGGCGCCTGTAGTCCCAGCTACTCGGGAGGCTGAGGCAGGAGAATGGCGTAAACCCGGGAGGCGGAGCTTGCAGTGAGCTGAGATCCGGCCACTGCACTCCAGCCTGGGCGACAGAGCGAGACTCCGTCTCAAAAAAAAAAAAAAAAAAAGAAATTGAGGAATAAGGCTACAGTTTACAAAGCTACACAATTGTTCATTGTGCAAGGAGTGAGGCCTTAAGAAAAGACTTCCCTGTGAACTACAATGAGATGAAAAGGTTTCTCAGAGTGAGATTTGAACAAGAGTTTAAAGAACTGACAGACTGATAATAAGTTTCAAGTAGTCTAGAGGACTGAGTACTAAAACTCAGAACAATGTAATAAAAGCACAGAAGAGAAAGGATGTTTTACATGACGGTAGAACATTTAGGCTAAGCTGGAGGACTTGGGAGAACAAGTGAAGAAGGTAAGTTTTGGTTAAATAATAGGTGGCCTTTAGTTTCAGGATGAGGATTTGGAAGTTAATCTTTTGGTCAATGGGTAATAAATGATGGTATTTGTGTAGTTGAGCCAGTTGACAATGCTTTAACAACTTCAAAAGGCCCTGAAAGACATGGTCCTAATCCATAGGAAAAAATGAACTCCTGACTTCAGGACCCTAAGCTAGGAGGAGATTGGATAGACTCTCTTATGGCCCAACTGTATAGAAAATAGAGAGCTTGCAGTGAGCTGAGATCATCCACTGCGCTGCACTCCAGCTGGGGCGACAGAGTAAGACTCCATCTCAAAAAAAAAAAAAAAAGTATCCATGCTAAAGAAGAAAAAAGTTAGAAAAAAGGTAGAGAAAAATATTTACTGGAGTATTTGAACCCACCACTCTCAGATCAATTTTCTAGTGTTCTGTTGACTGAGCAACCAGTCAACAAACTTTCGGCCATCTCACTTATTGAGTAACCTTTCCTACCAGAAAATGTGCTATATATTATTTATTTTCTTTCAATGGAAATTTTGGATTCTCAGTTATCTTTCCCTGACCTCTTGTCTGGTGATCAGAAAAAGATGACTAAACAGGGAATCTTAATTTTCTAGTGGAAAAAAAATCATGTATACCACATTTTATGTAACTTTTAATTGGGTGTAAATTTGAACTCCAACATCATAAAAATTATTAGTAAAATTCATTTTAAGCACAAAGTTGTTAATTCCCCCAAGATTTATCAAGAATGGCTTAATTTCAAAGGCTGTCAAGTTAATTATAAACTAAGATTTTCCAGTTGCACCAAGGGCATATTTTATTCGGCAAAAGAAGCATCCACTGGCTTTTGTCAGGATGAGTTATACAAGTTTTGAACTGAGAGGTCTTCAGAAATTCATCCCACATATTAACTGTGGCCTTCTCTACACCACAAATTCCCCTCCACTCATCCTCAAATTGTTTCCTTTCTCAGAACATCTGTGACACAAAGACTGTGACACACCCACAGGTCGATTAACCTGAGTACCCAACACCTATTAAAACATCCACACTCCTGAGAACACTAAAAACCAACCACCTCCTCAGGTCCCACCTCCAGTCTAGCTGAATCAGGAAACCTCAGGATAAGCACCTGGAAGCGGGTTTAACAAGCGCAAAGGTGATTCTTATAATTGGGAAAGTTTGTTACAGAACCAAGACACGGTCCTTGCCCTGGAGGAGGTATTTTCCTGTGGAGAAGGACCTGTAAACAGCCTATGAAGTGCTCAGCTTTCACCAAGAACAAAAACATGGACTGGTAGGGTTAAGGAAAAGTTTGATTGATATGAGGATTAAATCCTGAAGATTAGGGATGTCTTTGGGCGCTGGGGTCTCTCAATCACCAAAGATCAACATTATAGGCTAGGTAGCTTTGTCCCCCCAGACTGTCCTGTGCCTTATGCTTAGCACTCCCGGCCTCTGCCCATTGGATACTTGTAGCACCCCACCTGACAACCCAAAACATCTGTAGATATTGCCAAATACTCCACAGGGGGTGGGGGCGGTGGCAATATATCTCCCTGATTGAAGTCACTGGAATGGAAGTTAGGGGAGGATGGCTAAGTCAGGACCTGCAAAAAGGCTAAGGGACGAAAGCACATGGCTATATTCAACAAAGTTTGTGACAGACGCCTCTAGGTATATGGTTAAGGAAAACAGATTAAAACACTAAGAAATAGAAAGAGGTTGGACTGAGGGTTTCTCATCTGTATAGGAAATCTCATCTCGTTCATTACTTTCAGAAACGAAAAGGAAAACGACTTTCGAGATACAGGTTAAAGGTTGAAGGGGTGGGAAACCACCCCCCGTGCCTCCCTCCCTCCCTCCCTCCAAAACATCCCAGAACGATAGTCAAACCTTTCTAATCTCTTAGTACAGGTAACCAGCAACTCAGTTTAAGACTGGGCGAGGATGACGGAGGGCCACCTCATTTCAGGATTACAAGAAACTCCTTAGTCCTAAACCCGAATGCATCCGTGACCATGGTCACAATCCCCACCTGACCAAAAGCTATCCAACGCTCTGACAAGTGTTTACAGCTGCTATCTCGATTACTGAAGTGGCTCTGAAAAGAGCCTTTGGGGTAAGGTGGTTGATCTATTGCGTCCCTTGCACACCCTTACTTCGAGCTGGTGTACTTGGTGACCGCCTTGGTGCCCTCGGACACGGCGTGCTTGGCCAGCTCGCCAGGCAGCAGCAGGCGCACGGCCGTCTGGATCTCGCGGGACGTGATGGTGGAGCGCTTGTTGTAGTGCGCCAGGCGGGACGCTTCTCCTGCGATGCGCTCGAAGATGTCGTTGACGAAGGAGTTCATGATGCCCATGGCCTTGGACGAGATGCCGGTGTCGGGGTGGACCTGCTTCAGCACCTTGTACACGTAAACGGAGTAGCTCTCCTTGCGGCTGCGCTTGCGCTTCTTGCCGTCCTTCTTCTGCACTTTCGTAACAGCCTTTTTGGAGCCCTTCTTGGGAGCAGGAGCGGATTTTGCTGGATCCGGCATTTTTGCGCGAAAAATGCAACAGAGACTGAAAGAAGTAATTTCCGACTACCACAAAACGGGCTGGTTACGCGCTACTTATAGAGCTTGTATGCAAATGAGGACTCACAAAGTGCTGCGTTTTTATTGGTTAACTTACAATGGTGTCGTCAGAGGGGTGGAGTCTATGTAAATAATAGATTCTGGTCGTGCTTCCTTAGTGGTCACTGGAACAAAAGTCTTGTTATCCAATCAGAATGGTCCATTTCACACTAGCCAGTTTTAAGCTAGGTGAAGCGATAGTTTCAACGGCTAGGGGTTTTTTCTTGGTTTTCACTTTCCATCACAGACTTGCATACGGAAGAAATCTTAACGCCAGCTAGACAAGTTAACCCTTCCCTTGTTTTTGCATTTTTATTCTATACTTTGTGGAAATTTTGTTCTCTTCCTTGAAATAATACCTCAGCCCATATATTTTTAAAAATCGCCAGGTATTTACTCCCGCCCGCTTAAATTACTATTCTGGCTTGGGCACCGCCTGTAGTATGCAATGAGGAAGATGCTGAGCTTTAATTAAACTTATACACTTCTTAAATAAACCTGGAAACGGGTTTATAATTTTTAAGGGACTTGCCCCACCCTTACACTTAGAATCTTCTACATCTCGAAACTCCCCACATTGTCTCTTGCCGCCATGCAAAACTTGACCCACAGAATTGGGAGCCAGAGCTCTGGCCTTAAACCAGGGTGAAAAGGCAGGCTCGGCCGGAACCACAAGGACCATGCCTCTGTGGCTTTTTCTACCGCCAGCCAACTCGCGGCTGGGCTTTGGGTTCTGTAACGTCACCCACCACTACGAGTGCCCCTGGCCCCTGACCGGTGCGCAAGGCAGACGCACGCCAGATGGAGAGCCACTACAGCTGCTCTTGATGAAAACGGCAGTGGCTCTGAAAAGAGCCTTTAGATCGACCACTTAAAAATATGCCTTAGGCCCGCTCCCCGCGGATGCGGCGGGCCAACTGGATGTCCTTGGGCATGATGGTCACGCGCTTGGCGTGGATGGCGCACAGGTTCGTGTCTTCGAACAGCCCCACCAGGTAGGCCTCGCTGGCCTCCTGCAGCGCCATCACGGCAGAACTCTGGAAGCGCAGGTCCGTCTTAAAGTCCTGCGCGATCTCGCGTACCAGCCGCTGGAAGGGCAGCTTGCGGATCAGCAGCTCCGTGGACTTCTGGTAGCGCCGGATCTCCCGCAGGGCCACGGTGCCGGGCCGGTAGCGGTGCGGCTTCTTCACCCCGCCCGTGGCCGGCGCGCTCTTGCGGGCAGCTTTGGTGGCCAGCTGCTTCCTCGGGGCCTTGCCGCCGGTCGACTTCCGGGCAGTCTGCTTAGTACGGGCCATGCTGTATCATTGTTATGAGAGAGGCCAGGCAGTCTTATTTATAGACATAGCTTCGTCTTGATTGGGCATGAAAAGGAAATTTTCAAACTTGTTATCTCATTGGTTAAAATTCAATCCTATTTACCGGGGTGGAAGATTGTTCTGCTAATCTTTCTTCCCTTATTATTTCCCCCTTTCCCGATTCTTTTCTGTAATTTTATCTATCACGGGTTGTTTTTGAAACGTTTCCGTTAAATTGGTGTAACTTTTGTAAAAGCAATGTGTAAAGCGTTTTGCATCCCATTTTAACAGATTTTTTTTTCTCAGAATTCAACTATGGCCTTCTATGAGCTATTAGCCTATGTTTCAGGTTACCTGTTACTGTAGCTCTTCTACCATAGCTAACATTTATTTCATGTCTGGCATTTTGCTCAGCAAGTTAGATGCATTATGTACCATGGATGACCAAAGCTTAGCAAAAAAAAAATGTAACTGAAGGAATGAAAAGATTGAACTTATTTATTTGACCTCCCAACCCAGCCAAAGCCACTTCATCTGGGTAGTGTGCTGGCCTATATTGACCTGATATTAGAGTCTCTGCCTTCCTTTAGTCTTTTCTGCCTGCGATGTGGTTCCCTCTTCCTCATCCTCACATCAATGACCAGTTAGGTCTTGCAGATGATAAACTTCTAAATCGAAGAAGGACAACACCAGAAATATTCATTTCTCCTTTACAATGTAGAATAGTTTGTAAATAAGTGCTTATTAGCCAGATTAAAAGTTAAAGTTTCAAAGCAAATTATTCATCAGTTGCTGACTTGCAAACATTTTATTCAGTAAAGTGTTTTATAATGCTTAAAAGTTTAATATTTTTTTCTGTTCTCTATGAAGAGAGTAAAGATGCTTTGCTTTTTCAATTTCATGTGCTTTGAAGTATGTATTGTTCAGAACAGTAAATATCATAATGGTTATATAGAAGTAACTGATAGTTAAAAGTTGTAGTAGTTAATATAAAACTTTTAATCATATGCTTATTTTACTTAAAAATCATTACAAGCTATAAAAACTCAAACCTGAGAAAAGCAGGCCCGAAAAGCTTAAAACTTACTTTGATGGTGTCATTATGAACTCTCTTCCTACTGAAGTAAAAGTAAAGTAAAAGTGATTTTAAGGGGACTTCCTGAACACTAAACACAATGTAGAAGTCTGTTAGCTTAATTAATATCTTCAAGAGTCTTTCATGGGCAAAAGCATCTTCCTCTCGAGAGATCTAAAATGTACAAAAGTGTAACTGATGTGAACAAATGTTATTGCTCTCTGTGGTCGTTTTGTAATAATGCCTTACAGACAGCAGGTACTACTCAGTGTTTAAAGTTCTTCTGCATATACTTTATCATTTAATCCCTACTCTGTGAAATAGGTGTTACTTTTCTCACTTTACAGATAAGAAAACTGAGTCTCAGAGAAATTATGGCTTGTCCTGGGTAAGTAACAAAGCCTGTGTAATATTCTAAAGCAATAGAATGAAACTGTAATGATGAAACTTTCTATTTCATTAGGCTTAGAGGATACCTTTTTTTTTTTTTCTTTTGAGACAAAGTCTCACTCTGTCACCCAGGCTGGAGTACAGTGGTGGGATCTCTGCTCACTGCAACCTCTGCCTCCTGGGTTCAAGCGATTCTCCTGTCTCAGCCTCCTGAATAGCTGGGACTACAGGCGCAAGCCAACACCCCCAGCTTATTTATTTATTTATTTATTTATATTTTTACTAGAGACAGGGTTTCACCATATTGGTCAGGCTGGTCTCAAACTCCTGACCTCAGGTGATCCACCCTCCTTAGCCTCCCAAAGTGCTTGGGTTACAGGCGTGAGCCCCACGTACCCAGCCAGTACATTTTAAAGCACAAAAGCGTTTTCCCACCATGCAATCACACCATCTAGTATTTCTCAAACATCTACACCCAACTCTTCCCATCAGAAGGGAACACTACCCCATGGAATCTGGATGATAGCCCAAAGCAGCCCACCCAAGCATCCCATTTCTTTGCAATATACTTTCTCTATGATGTATGCACTCTTGACCATAATGTATAGATGTGTTCATTTAAATAAGAAAAGGGCATTCAATCAGAAGAGTAAACTTCTAATGGCTATAGGTATCATTTCTCAGAATAAAACAATCAGATGTATAGTTGCCTTAGAAGTCATCTTTAAGAACAGAATTCAGATCAATTGTTAGTTCAATTTCACCTAGTCCCCACATTGGACACCAGAGTGACATTTCTGTGAAAGGTCTCAACCCACCACTATATCAGAAGCAGCTTTATGGTGCAAAAGAAGCTCTGCTTTTCTGGAGTTGTAACATAGAGGGAATATTCCTCCTAAAATTTTTGAACTGTCCTTCAGCAGAAATTATAAGGGTGTGCAGCTTGAATACTGAGAACTGGAATTTCATTAGGTAGCACGGGAGAATAGACAAGAGAAGATTAAAATTTACCTAACAAGAAATAAACAGGCAAAAGAAAATATTAATAAATGAATTATTAGGTACATAATATTTTGTATGTACATGTGTTTACTTTTAATACAAAAGTAACGGACTAAGTTAAGATAGATGTTCCAATAAGATAGTTTATGTTTCATTTTTGGCTTCAAGTACCCTCAGGGTTACAAGTATCATAAGCTGAGACCAGCTGAATTGTTGGTTTGTGGGTTGGTGAGGCCCTGTGCCTGATTTGATTTTTCTCTTGAATGGTCTGCAGCCCTGGACCAAGTTGAGGAAGACTTGAGAGTGTCAGCTTTTTTCCTTACCCCATTATAAGTTAAACGCATTCCTTAAATATCCTGCTCATTTGATAAAACTTGGCACAGCACCCTTCTCCTTTCTACTGGTCCCTAATACTACCTGTACTCTACAACTCAAATTTTTTACAATTTCTGCCTTTATTATCTAACATATTCCACTGGAATATGTGTTACAGGAAAGGGGTCCCAATCCAGACCCCTAGAGAGGGTTATTTGATATCCGGCAAGAAGGAATTCAGGACCAGTCCATAAAGTGAAAGCAAGTTTATTAGGAAAGTAAAGGAGTAAAAGAATGCTACTCCATAGAGAGAACAACCCTGAGGGCTGCTGGTTGCCCATTTTTATGGTTATTTCTTGATTATATGGTAAACAGCGGTGGGGTGGTGGGCCACGCCTTTAATCCCAGCTACTCCGGAGGCTGAGACAAGATCACTTGAACCCAGGAGGCAGAGGTTGCAGTGAGCTGACATCGCGCCACTGCACTCCAGCCTGGACCGAGAATCCGTCCCCCGCACCCCGCCACCCGCAAAAAATCACTGCCAGTAAGGAACAAACAGCCAAGACGAAGTACTGAGATGTAAAGGGATGTAAAACAGGCCGGGTGCGGCGGCTCACGCCCGTAATCCCAGCAATTTGGGAGGCCGAGGCGAGCGGATTACGAGGTCAGGAAATCGAGACCATCCTGGCTAACACGGTGAAATCCCGTCTCTACTAAAAATATAAAAGAAAAGAAACTAGCCGGGCGTGGTGGCAGGTGCCTGTAGTCCCAGCTACTTGGGAGGCTGAGGCAGGAGAATGGCGTGAACCCGGGAGGCGGAGCTTGAAGTGAGCCGAGATCTCGCCACTGCACTCCAGCCTGGGTGACACTACGAGACTCCGTCTCAAAAAAAAAAAAAAAAAAAAAAAAAAAGATGTAAAATAATGTGATACATTCTGCGAGAGTTACTAGAGAGTCAGAAAAGGGCAAGAGTGTTTCTTCTCTGCCCTGAAGCAGCCAAGGGGGAAGAAGATATCTGTTGCCAACGCTGGGGTGTTACAGGTGCACACTGCCATGCCCGGCTAATTTTTTGTATTTTAGTAGACACAAGGTTTCACGATGTTACCCAGGCTGGTCTCAAACTCCTGAGCTCAGGCAATCCACCCGCCTCGCCTCACAAAGTGCTAGGATTACAGGCGTGAGCCACCACGCCCGGCCTATATATGTATATTTTTTCTAACACATACTTTTTCTTGGTGCCAACAATGTTTTAAACACTTTACATGTATTAACTCATTTTATCTTCACAAAACCCTATCAAGTAGGTAGTATAAGTATGTCCATTTACAGATTGGGACATGGAGGAATCACAGAGAGGTTAAGAAACTTTCTCATAGTCACACAGTCGGTGCCAAACCAGGTTTCAACTCCAGAGTCTGCCTTTAGTCACTATTCAACACTACTAACATCAAAGAAGTAAGATGTTGATGCAGCATTTATAGTAATTTAAAAGATTAGAAATAACCAACAGCCGGGGTATAGTGGCCCATGCTTGTAATTCCAGCAGCTTGGGAGCCCGAGGTGGGCAAGTTTGTTGGGAGCTGGAGACCAGCCTGATGACATGGCAAAACCCTGTTTCTACAAAAAATATAAAAATTAGCTGGACGTGGTGGTGCGTGCACTTGTAGTCTGAGCTACTTGGGAGGCTGAGGTGTGAGGATCGCTGGAGCCTGGGAGATTGAGGCTGCAGGCTGCAGTGAGTTATGATCACACCACTGCACTCCAGCCTGGGCGACAGAGACCCAAAAACAAAACAAAACAACCTCTGACAATGTAGGAATGCTGAAATGAATATTAATTCTAAGTAAAAACTCAACCTATCCCAATTAGCCCAAGACCACTACTTAGTCCACCTAAGCCAAGTTTGTTGACTTGTTACAATGAGGGAGAACACACAACAGAGAAACTGGTGGCAGGGTGATGGGAGGAGGGTGCTCACCAAACAAGAGGAAAATTGGACTTATCATTGATTTTGGGAGAAGAGTGGAGTGTAGTTTTCATAGGCTCAAAGCAAAGCAGGGCTGTGTGAAAGGGTAGGCATAGGATGGGACTTTGAAGTGGATCCAGGGTCTTGTTTCCTTGGAAACTACGAAGTTGAGATAGAGGTGGAATGCTGTGTTCAGAAATCCCTTACTTGAAGTTTTGCACCTGGGTTGAAAATTACTGTGTTTTTTTGTGTCAAGGTGG